TGGTTGCATATTAGGGATATTGCTTTTATATAATTACAAATATGTTTAAATTGTTTATTTTTTTATATTTTAAAAATTATTTTTATCTAATACATAAAATAGTGCATATTAAGGGAGAACCATATAATGTTTCAATACATATATTCGTTATATGGCAGTTAAATATATCTGTCTCCTCAAGCATTTATTATTTCTTTATGGCAAAAACTTTCAAAATCCTTTCTTCTAGCTTTTTGAAACGTATACTGCTGTTACCTGTAGTCAGGTTCCTGTGCAGGAGCACACAGAACTTCTCCTTAACTATAATTTAGAGCCTGTTGATCAGCCTTTCCCCTTCCTTACTCCTCACGGAAATTTCACATTTTTGTGTAGATAATTATTCTTGGGCTGGGGATTTAGCTCAGTGGTTCCGCCATCTGCCCCGAAACTACATGGACCTGAGTTTGATCCCTGGTACCAAAAAAAAAAAGCTTGTTATTCTAGCATAGTTATTTAAAGATGGTGAACTTGAGAAGTATAATAAATTATGATCTAATATGAAATATTAGAGCCTTTAAGTTTTACAAAAATGATTGGGGAAACAGAATTATGTTTAGTTGCAAACTGTTTTCTTTCCCTCTGGGGGAGGAAGACTTGCTGCTGATGTCTGCTCATTTCTGTTGCAGGCTCAGTCCTCCTGTTCTCCCCCTGTGCTCCTTGAAGGAAATCCATTTGTCTACTGATAAGTTTTTCAGAATGGAACCATCTGAGATCACCAATGGTTGTTTTCTTTCTATTTTAACAAGAGAGGTAAGGAAAAGAAAAATCCCAGTTTGTGTCACACTTTCGAGTTGGGAAACAACAAAGCCCCAAAAGAAGCAGCTGGGAATGTTGAGCATTTTGCGCTGTGCTCAGTAGTGCAAGTGAAGGAGAGAGCATCATCGCTGCTTGTGAATAATCCCCATTCTTTATTCTCCTGAACGCTCCTCTTTTGCCTGCCCTCAGCTCTTGCCTCACCAAGCAGTTCATCAACATCTGGTGCATCTGCTCTATCCAAAGAAAGTAGCAGTATGATTCTTTTTACCAGGGTTATAAATGAGAGAGTTGAAATTTTAAAAAGTCATTTGCTGAGGCTTGTGATCTGTGTTAGGGACTATGGCCTAAAAACCAATTATTTTAGTATAATAAAGACACACTATTTTCCCGGAAACACTGGCCCGCGTTTCTAATACACACAGTAAGAGCCACCTCTCACGCTAACGAGTGCCTCTTCCCTTGCAGCGGGATCCATCTGAGGCTGTGTCTGTGAAAGATGTTTTGGCCCGGGCTGCAGCGAAGGGTCTGCTGGAGGGGATTGAGTTGGAAAAATCATCAAAAGGGGAGAAGAAAAAGAAGAAATCAAAGACATCATTGCCCAAAGCTTCTGGTAATGATAATTGTGGCATCCAAATGAAGATCGCTGAGTTCCTGAGTGGAGAAAATAAAGCGAGCACCAATCAATCAGAGATATTAACGACAAAAGCAGCTCTTCCACAGAAAAATGTGATGCAAGTGGGTTCTTCCACCCAGGTCAGAAAACCCAGCAAGCCTGCCACCAACCCTTTAATGCCCACCTTGATGAAGAAGTCCTGTCCCTCCAGGCCATGGGACCAGCAGACACAATTCAGGAGACCTCGACCGGAAGGCAAAATGGTTGCTCTAAAACCTGTGGAGATCGTTTTGCCCCCAGTGATGTTTCCATTTTCAAATTCTCAAGGGATCCGATCTCAGATGCCAGCTCCACATTTCTGTCGTTGGATTGGACCCAAGACTAGAATGCCCGGCTGCCTTCCCACCCCATTGGCATCCAGTAGAGGGGAGAAGCCGAAGGAAAACTCCCCTTCCTCCCTGCTCCGGCGTCCCCGGCCATGGCTCTGACTGCCCTGTGCTTCTCACGTAGCCAGGAACAGGTGATTTCCCTCACAGTCTGGTATTCTCGGAAGGTTAGATGTAGCTATGCAAGATGCTCATCCTTTCATCACTTAGTATTTTCTAAATGGGGTATTACCTCCTGAGAAGTCAGACAGATGAGAAACAGTACTGTAGGGCACTAAGAGAGCAGAATTCACAGATTCCAGCAGCTCAGCGCTGATCTGTTTTAGAGCTGGAGATGCCCAGTGAGCTGTTAGATCTGCCCTGCTCCTGCCTCCAGCCTGGGTTACAGCTGCCAAAGTCTCTCGGAAGGGAAGCAGTTGCTTTGAACCCTTATAGAAAGCAGCAGCGGACGCCAGGCACAGGCCCTTCCCGGCAGGTGTGGGCCACTCCTCAGTACCCAGGCAGCTCAGCTGGAGGTGAACTTTAAAAATCATGATCAAGGTTGATTTTCGCCTTCAGTATCAAACTATTCCTGAAACGGCATGACGTGAGTTTTTGTAATGGTACTGAGCTTGAGTAGGAAGTGCAGAAAGACCCGCTCACTTGGCTGAGCGTGAACTGTTTCTGGTGGGAAGAGCTTCCAGCATTTGAGTAGACTAAGCACGACCCTCCTGCCCTCCTGCCTGTTTATGCCAAACACTGTTCTGAAAAATGGCTGTGAGCAAATTTCCACCTAAATATTCCTAATTCGGAGAAAAGGGTGAAACTGTTGGACACAAGTGATACCTGTTGTTGAAGAAACCCATAAAGATTTCTGGTCCTACTCAAAGATCAGGTGATAGAGCAAAATGTATGAGCCATTTCAAATGGCATACGATGGTAATCAAACTTCGGTAAATCATTTTTTGATGCACAATTAAAATATATTGTTACACTCTGTTAATTACTTTAAATCCCATATTCCTCTTGAATCTAATTCCTAACAAATTGCCTACAAATATTACCATGATTATATTTCTGGGTCTACTTCATTTTTTCATCACACCAACAGCAACAGTTCCACATTAAATAGAGTAAGTCTACAACTATATATCTTAACTGTTTAAAAAGAAGTTCAGACACCTCCAGTTTGAGTTTAAAGTTTTATTTCCAGAATTCAGTTGTGTAGAAGTATTAGTAAATTCCTAAATGTTCAATTCACGTGACATGGTTTTAGTGGTTAGATCTGTTTTAGTTCTTATATTTGATTTTTTGAAGTGGGGAGAATAGTGAATTTCATTTTCATAGTACTGTTTGTTTTAGCTGAAGATTTACATTTTTCAGGAAAATCTTTAAGTGAAGACTTTTTACATTTTTGTAACAGGCTTCTTATATTTTAAATTCTCGAATTATTGCTTATGATTCTACAGGATGTTTTAAATGCTCGGTTTATTTTACTAATTTTAAAATATCAGAAACTGTGTACCTCAAATTACAGCATGTGTTTCATTCTGTTATCTCCACCCAGGTCTGGTTTAGAGCACCCTATGCTGGCAGCAGGGCAGTGTAGCTTTGTTTAGCATTGTTCAGTAAAGAGCTCAAAAAAAAATTTTACCTCAAAAATCTCGTTATCCCTTCCCTACTCTCAGCCCCACCCCAGGCTGAAAAGTGTTGCATGTCTGAAAGTAGCAGGTCTGAGATTTTTATTTTCAAGTGCATTTTCTGGGTTGTATTCTGCAGTAGCCCAGGGATTATAGTGCCTGTGATTCACATCACAACTCAGAGCCATTTATTTCCAGTATCTCCTATTGTCCATCTTGGCACTAAATTATTTTTCTCTTTAGAAGTTTATGGAGATTCTGAATTAAGCTGTTCATTAACTAAGCCTGGATTTTATTCTTTGAGCATTTCTAAGGAGGTCAGGATCAGTTATTTAAAGACTTTGATAAGAGTAAAAAGGGACATATTTTTAGGATAAAAGCAAAACAAGAGAATTCCAGTAAAGAATATTGAATATTGGTCACACTGACCTTTTTCTGTGGCATTTTAGTTGTTTGAACTTTTTTTTTTTTTTTCCCCAGTACCGGGGATTGAACTCAGTACCTTGTGCTTGCCTGGCAGACACGGCACCACTGAGCTATCACCAGCCCTTGAACTTCTTAAAGTATTGCAAAAACCTAAAATAATCAAACTATGAGTACTTAGATATTCCAATAGCACATTTGGGTTACAACTATGAAAACCTTGAAACCAAAGTGAACTTTCGTTCCTTGAGAGTCAGTGCCTCTGAAGGTGTGAGAGAGAGGATGCTGGGAGAAGCACAATGAAAAAGGGGCGGGGCTGTGTGTCAGAATTTGTCCTCTTCCGTGTGTCCAGTTACCCAGAACCACAGCCAGCTGAGTTCCCAGCTGTTTCATTTCAGATTTAGTGCCTATACATGTCTGTTCTTTGCTCTCTTTAGTTAGCTTCTTAATGAGCTTCTTGTGCAGAAAGTTTAATTCTATAAAGACTGCTACATTGGTGACTACTTGGGCTTCTGTGTCCAGAATGCCTGCTGTCTTTCCTCATCACCAAACAAGACCCAGGTAATTACTCAAAATTTACTTTCCAGTTCTTGCCAGGTGGAAAGATGCAACCACTAATCAGAGCTGAATCTACATTACCAAAATGATTTGTAAAACATTTGATGATATAAAAATAAAATGACTAGTGTTGGGACACTTTATAGTTCTGTTTCTCATATATACAACTGAGTTGTCAAAACAATGAGCCAAGCATTTTATGCAGCTAAATTTATTCTCACAACATATTACATTTAAATATGTAGAAGTGGCCAATAGCAAAAGGGGTAAAAAAGAAAATGAAACATCCTTTAGGGGTGAACAGGCTGCTCCGGATGCCAGGGACTGCTCTCTCTGGTGTGTGTGAGGATCTTTGCCCTGAACCTGGAGTAACTTCAACTTCACTTTACCAGCTGTCAACACATGTGTAAGGCATGGTTTAGGTTAAGCCTGGCCAACCGGAGAGCTAATGTCCTGTTAAATTGAGCTAGTATTAGTTGGGGATATGTTTTCCATGTTGTTTAGGAAATCTTGTGTTGTGAAGCTCGTCAAATGAGTGTGCCATTCAAGAAAAAGAAGCTTGGAGGCTGTTGGTAAATGGCCTTGTGTATTATTAAGGTGTGCATCTTAAACTCATAATATGGATTTTAAAAAAAAGTAGCAGCGTCAACAGTTTATCATCAAGAACTTGTTTTAATGGAAATGAGTTTAATGTCCCTTCATGCAGTAAGACAGACAAAAAACGATGGCCCTAAGTACTTATGGGTGATCTCATACCCAGGGGAAAACAGGGAATGTGGATATATGTATATATCTCTAGATGACATCACACGCGTTGTGAAGGATATAAAAAGGAAGCACGGCACAGTGCTTTAGTCTACAAAGTAAAGTCCTTAGCCATAGGCATGTCGGCTATTTCCCTTGACTCGGCCAAGGGGCACGCAGATCAGGTGGCAAGACTGCGTCTAGCTAGCTGCTCTTAAAAAATAAAAGGAACTTTAAGCATTTTGCCTTTTCTTCTACATATTCCAATAGAAATGTGACTACAAATCATTACAAAACCACCATTAGGCAACGTATAGTTCACTGAGATTACTTAGGCCTGGATACACTGAGACATAATACCCAGTAAAGATAATACATTAACACAATAATGCAGTATATTTCAGTAAAAATAGAATAAATAAAATAAAAATATTTTAAGCTGTATTTAACAGGTTAATTACAAAAAATGATAAGACATACAAGGCATAGTGAACATGGCTGCCTGTTTACCAAATCACAGATATAAAGAATGCATAGGTAACTGAAGTATCACTAAGTTCTCAGGTAAAACACTGGCATCCTTTCACAAACACACACATACTTTCATACATACTTTTTGGCCATGGCAGAAAGTGTCTGAACATACTGTTTAACATAATAAATTTTACAAAATTAATCTGCATTTAGTATGCAAAGCTATTTTCAAAACAAAATATCTGCAGTACAGTTTTCAATATGTAAAGGCTATCATTCATCTTACTGCATCCTATAATTGCATATATAAATCAGTTTGCTACTTAAAGCTAGCTCAGTATTCTTGATCCTGAAAACAAACAAATGTATCCCTTAAAACATGAACAAGAGGGGCCGGGAATTTAGCTCAGTGGTTCCAGGACCTGCCTTGCAAGTGCAAGGTCCCGAGTTCAATTCCCAGTACCAAAAGAAAAAAAAAAAAAGAACAAGAGGGTTCTGGTAGAGATTTCCTGTAGAAAAATGGGTTGTTTAGAATATTGAAGGGTATCACACTAAAACATTTCATGGTGGAGATCAAGATGAAAGATCACTGCAACTGAATTTTGAACAGCAATTCACAGGGCACAGTAAGATTTTCATATTGCAGCAATTTCCCACAATGGCACTGGTTAGTTCAGAGAGAACAGTATGCAAGTTGGCGAGAAGCACAATGCATTTCTAAAGTAGCATCATTTCAGTTATGGCATCAGGGTGCCAGGAAACACCTCCAGCCCTGCTGTGCCCCCTCCATGGCAGGCAAAGGCCTCCCACTCGTGTTCTCTGGTGGGCAAGGGCCATCGGTGAGGAATGCCTCTACAAGGACCTCACCTCTGGAAAAGCTTAGGTTGGAACAGGCTGCACCCAATGTGGATGCCTGTCCTCTACAGCACATTTGAGGTGCGCCACAGCAACCAGCCCTGGACTGTGAGAAGACGGTGGTTTGTGAGGGATTTGATACCCCTGCCCGAGGAACACGGACAGGCTTCTCTGCTTCTGCAGGGGATTCTGGGACTGCCTGACAGTGTGTGCTTCCATGTCTGCTTGTTGTAGATGCCCAGAGTCACTGGGAAAGGTCTTCCTGATTGGGTGGAGGGGGAATAAGACAGCAAGAGCTAGGGGGTGGAGGTGTGGTCCTGTTTCTGGCCCTCACGAGCTTTGGTGAGATCTTAGGCCAATGGGTTTAGCCTCTTGGTACTTTGTATTTTATTTCTCTAGTGTGTTTAGTACCTTTTCTACCATATAAGGCTCAAATGTGATAAGGATGTGGAAACCATCTTGACAAGTACAAAACTGTGTATGAACATAAACTGTTATTTTTATAAGTGGATGTCGTAAACTTTAATTTTGACATTACAAAGTAAACAAGTCTAATATTGAGATTGATCTCCTTAGCAACTTCCTTTTAAAACACTGTCAACAAGAGTCTAAATTTGAATATCTTTATAGCTGTTTTTTATCCACATAAAAAGCAGGAAAATGCTATTTTTTGGGAAACCGTTAAATAGTCCATCATTCCTACGTATACTTCAGTCTGATATGAAATTTTTAAGTCTTGAGAATAAAATGGAAAAAATATAAATTTAAAAATACATCCTGTTGGATCCAACAAATTCTAATATTAAATACATAAATTCAAAGAAAGTTTCAACTAAATGTAATTTGTTGCCATGGACAATATGTAATGGACAGACAACTTTCTGGACAAAAAGCATTAGAATAAAAATGAGCCAGATGGGAAATTCTAGCAGAACATTTACCTCTAGGATGTGGACTAACAAAAATAATGTGGTGGTAGAAATCTAAAATAATAGTGTGTGACAGAGATATAAACGACATTTCCTCGACTCCAAATTGTATATTGGCTAATTATCAAACTAAGGATGAGAGGTTATGAGGAGTATTTCATCTAATGTTTGTGCAGAGAATGACCATAGTGAACTAACTATAATTCTCTAGCTGCATCGTACAATGTAAGGCAGAAGTTTGAAATATGTCCCACCCAAAATGCATTAGGATCTTGTTCATCTTTTTAAAATAATCAGTTTGGAAACCACCTGAAAAGGCTATTTTTTGATTTTAATTTCTCAAATTTAGTTTATCATTAAAGATTCACTTTTCCCCCCAACCTCCCACTGACAGTGGTAGACATGAAATGGTGTCCGCGTGTCAAAGCTCGCCAAGGAAAGCTGCCCGCTGGTTTCTGCACTGACGCCAACAGCCATTTCCGTCAACCAACACGTTTGATTTTATGGAAAACTAAAACCCATCCTATCTTTACAGCAATTCAGTGGCATCCGCTCTGCAGCGACCTCCGCGTTTCCAAGGCTGAAAACGGGCAAGGCGCTGCAGGCCTGAGGCTGCTCCCGACAGATCAGCCGAGAAGCTGGGAAATGACTCTAGCAGCGTCTTCTCCAAGGACGCAGTGTTCATTTGCCAGGCGGGCGTCTTTTTCCGTGTGTGAAGCCAAGTCCACGATATGTACAATAAGAAAGGGACCTTCCACTGCTCATGATGTAACTTACAGCAAAAAAAAAGGATTCATGCTTCTTTTCATATCACATGGTGGTGGCAAGACAGAGAACATGCTTGTCTAACACTGTTTGGGTACAGATAAACTCTCTGGAGACAAAGCATCAGCAACTGAATGGAAGGCTGGGCGCAGGTCCTTTTCTTTAGTGTAGCTCTTCAATCCTCACGGGGACGCCAGAGTCCTCAAACGTGTGCAGCTATGGCGTCTCCGAGACAGGGCGTTTCTGTTTCAAAGTGTCAATGAGGGATAAGACCCCTCGCTTTACATTGGTTGTGACTCTTCTAGTCACCGAGTCCGCTGGCGGAGGAGGTGGTCGGACTTTCTGTGAAGGTGGCCTGGCTACCAAGCACTTCTGATAGCGTAACTGAAACAAAGCAAAGAAAATATCCAAGGTAATATTATCACACCTTATTAATAGGGCTTTAACTCTTCACCCATACAATGACTCCAGAAAGTTAACAACCTTGCTTTTACATCCAAGAGTTTATTTTTAACGTGTGTGTTTTATATTCCTCAGTAGACTTGAAGGTGTTCTGCCTCTTGCTGCCTTTCCTCCCCTCCATTCCCATCCTTGACTTGTTCTCTACCTTCACAGGCTATGACAAATACACCTCACAGTCCACAAGCCGAGGAAAACAAAAAAGGCCTCAGACAGAGGGTGTTCCCTGAATGTTCATCAGAGACGTGCACTCTAAGCAATCCTCACGGCTCCTGAGAGACAGCACGGTAGAGGGTGCAGTTTGCATCCAAGCTCCACCACTTTCTTTTTCTTCTTGGTTTTTTGAGACAGGGTCAGGGCTGGGGATTTAGCTCAGTGGTTTCACTGCCTGCTGCGCAAGCGCAAAGACCCGAGTTCGATCCCCGGTACCAAAAAAAAAAAAAAAAAAAAAGAGGCAGGGTCTCACTATGTAGCACAGGCTGGCCTTGAACTCATTATGTAGCCTAGGCTGGCCTCAAACTTGCAGTGATTCTGCCTCAACCTTCCAAGTGCTAGGATTACAGGTAGGTGCCATCACGCCCAGCTTCAGGCTCTACCACTTTTGAGCTGTGGATTCCAGGCACTTATTAAATCTCCCTGACTAAATCTTCTCAACTGTGAAGTGGCTGAAGAGTGAGAGTTCTTACAGAGTGGGTTATGATTGAGCAAGGCATACTTACAGAATGCCTGAAATAGGCCTAGCAAAATGCAGTAAATGTTTGTTTCCATCCCTATTTCGTGCTTCAATAAAAAAGAATGCTGTATTAATAGATTTGGGGATCTATTTTACATTCAAGTCTAAATCCTAGTGGATTGGTTTTACAAAAACTGACAATTTCCAGGCTTCAGGAATATAAGAAAAAAAAAGCCCACTTGCTTTTGTTGGGAAGATAAATAATTCTTCAAAATTTAGATGAAAAGTTTAAAACTTATCCAGTGTTTTTTTTCTTCTAATTAAAGCACCGTGAAATACTTCCACAGCTGATTTTTAAAACTGACTTAAATACTAACAGATTCCTTGATGTAGTTATGGAGCAAGTTTATGTTACTCCTTAAGAAGCATAAGGTATCACAGTGAGACTCTAGGGAATGATGGATCACAGTGTCCCATCACACTCCACAGGCCGGAAACTGGCCCTGCCAACTTGATCATATGTAAAAGGATGATTTATTACATCTGCTCTGTGTAAGGCATCTTGCTAAGTCTGCATCATAACTCAAAACATGCACATCCAAAGCATGAATTTAGACAGGCAGGTGTGGTGACCTGAGACCCTGGAGTTGGCATTTCAAACAGTTTTGTATGCACAGCATGAATCAAAATTGCACTTAACTGACAAATTCCATAAAGGATTCCTGTGATGGTTAAGCTTGGTTATGTCAACCTGACTGGCTTGGGAGCTGCCAAGGGGATTAGTAAGGCTCACTGGGTAGTTATGGAGGCGTGGCCTTTAGTAGTCCATATGGCGCCTGGCCCCTTCCTCGCTGCTGTTGTTCCCCTGCTCTGCTTTCCGGCCACCAGGAACTGGGCAGCTTTGCTCTGACCTTCCCTTCTACCATGATGTTCTTGCCTTAAAGCCAGCCAACCACAGTCTGAATCCCCTGAAACCATGAGCTAAATGAAAGATCTCCTCCTTTAAATTGTGGGTGTTGGGTATTTGTTCCAGCAATGGGAAAGCTGACTAGTGCCATCCCTCTCTGTCTTCTTCTGAATTTCATAAGAATTTCATCAGATGAGTCTACACCACATACCTGCAACATAACACCTAAAAATTAAGTAGATTCAGAAGAATGTGTGACTAGCACATTTCAGATAGGGTAAGTTCACATACAGACATTTCAGATGGAGAATCATACAAATCTAAATCAAGAAGAGAGCCACTGTGCTAGAAAAGCTGGATTCAGGGTGGGATGGAGGGACCTTCGACTTTATCCATGTGCCTTATCCTGGGTTGGCTGAGCTACTCTGGCTGGTACACTAGTACAATTAAAATAGGAAGCAAATGAGGAAAAGCTGTTTCCAAGAGAGAAAAATGAGTCTGCAAATAAAAAACAAACTTCAACTAGTAATAAAGCTAATTATTTAATTGGCATTGTATTTAAGATGTATAATTAAAGCCTGAAAGCCATTCATTTTATGACCAAAACCATCTGCTATGATCTGCTGCAATTTCACAGGACATCTAAGTAGCCACCATCCATTTGTGCTTGACTGAAACTACCATTCTCTGCTTGCCTCAAATGGCCCTTCACCCCACCCATCCTCATCCTCACACCCGGTCGGGGTTCACCTCGCCTCCTCCATCCCACCCTGCTCAACACCCAGGCAAATGACAGTCAGGATCCTGGCGCCACTGTCCTGGGTGGGGTGTGTGTGTGTGTGTGTGTGCGTGCGCGCACGCACCTGCACTATATCTTTAATAAGGGGCTGTGGTAAGTGGAAACTGGATCTCAGGTATAGACACCTCTACATTAAAGGTATCTTTCCAGACAAAAGTCAGTGCCTTTGCCATCTCCCACCTCATCCTTTCTCTGTCCCGTCTGCTGTCTCTTTCTTTTTTTATGGCAGTGATGGGGATTGAACCTACAGCCTTCACATTGAGCTACACCTTCAGGCTTGTCTCAGAGTGCAGTGAGAGCTCTCTAATCAGGTAAAGGCCTCTTCTCTGCTCTTCACTTACCACCATTTTCTGTCAGTTTCATGCTGCAACTATGGTTGAGCATTTGCTGACTGATGGGGAAACATCACTTGGTGATTTCATCTTTGTATGAGACCCCCGTGTATGTGCCCAGACCGAGGTGGGGCAGCCGACTGGGCTGTAGACTGGACAGCAGGTTACTGTACTGAGTATAGTAGGTGATGGGCACACAATGACATCTGTGCATCGAAACACAGGCACAGTAAGAACACGGCATGCATGGTGCTGCAGGACTGGAAGTTGTTCTGGGCGTATGTGAGTGACTGTGAAGGCCGAGGACACTACTCTTCCGTGCATAAACACTGTTATGCTGCACACTTGGCCTACACCAAATTTATTACAACTTTTTCTTCAGTAATAATATTAACCCTAACTTATTGTAACTTTTTGGTTTATAAACTCTGTTTTAAGATTAATTTTATTGGTACATTTTAGGTGTACAATATAATGACATTCATCATTGGGGATTTGTACCTTTACATAATCTGTCTGGATTCTTATTTTTTCCCCCTTCCCCTGCCCTCTCTTCAACCCCTCCATCCCTCCCTATTTACAAAGACTTTGTTTCCATTTTTTCATTTTCTCACATTCATTCCATTCTTCTTTCCTTTCCCCTACCACTCCCACTTCCCCTTCCCCTTTGTACCTTTTCTTCCTATTTCACATTATCTATTATACATTTTGATCCTTATTTACACTTTGTTTCTCACATATTTGGTATTTACACGTCTGTCCTATTTATTTAAGAGTATTGCCTCAATGTGCATCCATTTAGCTATAAATATCTCTAATTTCTCATTCTTTATGGCTGAGTAGTACTCCATCTTATAAAAAAATCCCACATTTTCTTTATCCAGTCTCCAGTTGATAGGCAATTGGGCTGTTTCCAAGTTTTAGCTGTTACAACTTGTGCTGTTATGAACATGGGTGCACATATATCACTGTGGTATGATTCTTTTAATTCTTTGGGGAAGATCCCCAGCAGTGGAATAGCTGGGTCAAATGAGACTTCCAGTCCTAGTTCTTTGAGGTATCTCCATGCTGATTTCCACAGTGGTTTCACCAGTCTACACTCCCACCAGCAGTGGAGCAGGGTTCCTCTTTCCCCACAGCCCCACCAGCATTTGTTATTGGTTGATTTCATGAAGCAGCCATTCTTTGTGGGCCATTCTTTGATAGCAGCCATTCTTTTTTTTTTTTTTTTTTTTTTTTTTTTTTTTTTAACTTTTTGACCCTTTTATAATAACCCCTAGTGTAAAACACAAATACCCTGTAGGTGTCAGGAATTTTTCAGCTTCATTATAATCTGACGGACCACTGTCATATTCATGGTCTGTTATGGGCAGAAACATCTCTGTTAGGCACACAGAGTGTACGTGTGACCCACGTCAATCTAGCCTTGCTGGCTCATCTCCCTCAGGCTAAGAAAGTATGCCAATCACTCCCATCCTAAAATGAACCAACCAGTAAACCCGGCAGTGCTGCCCTTTGATGATGGGACCTTCTGAGTCATCTACTTCCAGGGCCTCCTTTCCTCTTTCCTCTTGGTTCCTTGTCAATCCAGGGAGTCTCACACTTGTATCTGTAGCCCTTCCCACACTACAATGGGACTTCAGTTTGCGCGTCTCATATACCACGCCTAAGCTTCACAATGCAAGGGTCAAACTGAGTCAGGCTTGAGCATACTCGGGCTTGTCCAGCCCACAGATGCTGAGTGGAGAAATGTGGATGACCCAGGCCTCAAGCCCGGCCCCCTCTCTCAGGCCACGCCAGCTGTACGGCGCCTCTAGATCCTTATCCACTATGTGTCCCCAGTCTGTGATCGCGGCTTGTACTCGCCTTGCCCCTCCTCTGGATGGCTGACCAGCCTTGGAGTGGATCACTCTGTCCTCCACACGGCTGTCTTCTTTTGCCTTTTTTGCTGAAATATTCTTTTAAAAGCTAAATATGATTAATTCACTTCCCTGCTTAACAACCTGGAACTCTGGCATGACACCACGGGGCATAGACCTTTCACAACACAGACTCAGCCTCCTGCCACTTGGTCCCACAGCCCAGCTGCTATTGTTAGAATGCACCACAGGCTCAGGCTTTGGGGCTCCAGTATTCACACAGCTCTTCGCTCTGTCTTGCACTCTTCCAGTGTCTGCTGTAACAGGTGCTCAAAGGTACGTGTTCAATATGAGTGGGTATCTCTGTCTCAAATCATCTTTGAGGTGAAAGCACCCTGGCTTTGTGATCTAGAAATGGCAGCACAGGGCTGAGCCTAGGTCCTGTCACTTTCCAACTCTATGCCCTGCAGCTCATTTAAACTTGTGTGAGCCTCTGTTCTCATAAATAAACCAGGGCTAACAACTACACAACAGGGCTGTTGTAAGGACTGCCCTAGCAGATATAAAGTAAATAAAATATGTAAGGACAATGAATGTAAAACAACTATGTGAAGTAAAAACCACTCCATATATTTCTTCTTATTTCTAAAGTACTGAGCTGAATGCAGGCAGTAACAGCTCATGCATGACCAGCATTTTCTGATCACATACTGAAATTAATTTGGGATCAGGAAAGGATAATCCTCAAATCCGTATCCTTTCCAACACTACTGGAGTCTACAGAACCTGGCTCTATTTGGTCCGCTTCATTCATCCTCTTGAGATGCAATCTGCTTCTCATAATTGACTCAGTAAAGCAGGTCTTTAAAAATTCAATTTCTCTTTCTGCTTTAATTTTTTTAGGCAATACTTGAGATTGAACCCAGGCTACTTCACTGAGCTATATCTGTGGCCACTTTTTTATTTTTTATTTTGAGGCAGGATCTTGCTAATTCACCAAGTTGTCCAGGCTGAAACTGTCAATCCTGCATTGGCCTCCCAGAGTATTGGGATTACAGGTAGGACCTCCGCACCCAGCTCTCTCTTTTAAATGAGCAATTCTCCCCAAGTTTATGGTGTATGGAAGCTGAGCAGGGCAGGGAGGCTGAGCGCCTCACGGTGGCCATCACTCACCATGCAGGCGGCCTGGACTGCCTCGGACACGTTGGCGGCATTGGGTTCGCACCAGAACACATGGCACTCAAAGCGCTGGCTCCCTGTGTCCATGATGAAGGCAAATGTGTGGATGTCCTTCCCGACACCCATGAAGGACAGGAATCGCACTCGGCACTCCACCAAAACCTCCTCTTCATTCTGCAAGAAATACCATTCAGCGTTCAGTGTCACACTCCCCAGGAAGCCAGGCCACAGTCACTAAAATGTTCCTGTCTTAAACAAACCATAGAAGTCAGCAGATAAGATCTGGTATTAAAACATGGTCAGACTGAATTCAGAAAGGACCTGTGACTGTCTAGAAAGGTGGAACTGCCTAAATGTCCAGGAGGCCCTTATTACTTTGGGCATCTGCTGATATCTCATCTAGCTCTATGCTGTAATGCTGTCATGGTATGTGATGTGTGTCCCATGCTCGCCCACTGTAACCTGTGTCTGTGCGCTCAGTGTGGGGAGGAACAGTGTCACATGGCCTTCTAATATACAGTCCAACAAAGGGCGCCCAGCGGCTCAAAACCATTGTGTCCACATGAAGCGCACAGATACCAGGAGGAGAGGACTCACTGCATTGCTCTTCATCTGGCTTCTCTACCCAAGGAAACTGCACACTGAATCACATTTCTACCTAGATTCATGTGAAATAAAAAGTTGCCAAATCAACATATTTGTCAAATCACTTTTTTTTCCCTTTCCACAAACTGGGATCCCTATGAGGCAGCACAAAGCGATGCCTTTGATTCATTCTTCTATAAAGGCCACATCCTTTGCAGCAATCACATGCATTTTTTGAATTAGTAAACACAGCCAGAATGTCACTTTCAGGTCGTAATATCTTGACTTACTAAATAGTCACTCAGGTCCAAGGGGAGTGTTTAATGGGTACACTACGCTGGTCTGAGAGCTCAGGGGGGATTTCCCAGGAGAGATGTTGAAACTGGGACCTGGAAGGAGTGGCCCTGGCCAAGACACAGAGACCTAAGGGTATGGAGACATGCTGGAGGGATGGAAGAAAATCCAGCTCTGCACGCTAGATGCGCGGGCAGGTCACTGAGCACCCTAGTCTGTTCAGAGATGAACAAGCATTTCATGAAGGTGACCTGCTGGTGGGCAGGTGGAAGCACAAGCAGGCTGGTGACCTGGGGTCTCCCCAGGACAGGTCCTTCACAGGCAGAATGGGAAAGTGGTAAGGAGTCTGGAGCCAGACTGCCTCATTTTGAAGCCTGGTCCTCTACTTCCATCTGTGTAATACTAGGCAAGTTGCTAACCTCTCTGTGTGTCCATTTCCTCAGCTGATTTGGGTTGAGTTTGATGCTGTCCTCTGCCAAGATGACCAATGACCCTTCTATTGCTCCCAGAATGAACCCCTGAGACTTCCTTCACTGAGATACCTTCTGTGTCCAATCCCTGCCAACACGGCCCGGTCCACATGGAGCCCTGAGAGGAATTGGCCAGAACCCAAACCTCAGTGCCACACAGTTGCCTCCAACATATGATTTCAATCTCTTGGGCAGACGAGGAAGACAGAATCAGGAGCACCAGGATAGAAGATTCCAGGTTCAAGGGAAAGCACAGGTGAGGCAGAGATGGAGACAGAGGCCAGAGCCTTTTATGAGCCTAGGCCATGTGAATCACACCAAGTGCAGCTCCCAGGAGCTCAAGCGCTGGCTGTTTCAAGCTTCACAGAAGACCACTGCATCCAAAGCCTCACTGCAGCCCAGACAGGCCAATGTCCTGCACGACCCTCACCTTCTCACTGATGACAGTCACCGTGGCATCGGCCACATTCATGTTCACTGACGGCCAATCCTCCTTATTGGATACGGTCGTCAGACTTTCTATGGCACTGTTCAGGGTCTCCATGCCTGTGGATGGAAAAGAGGATTGAAAAAGCCCTAAAGTTGTTGATGACTCTCTAATGTGGGCCCAATCACCCCACTGACAGCCAATCCCAGGTTAATTTTTCTTTGTAGCTACAGAAGACACTTCATACTTTATTCTCATGTTTGCCCCAAAGCAAAGAAATGCCAGACTTTGCAGCAGAAAAAAGGGGCATGAGCTCCTTTGGAGATCTGGCTTGAGGTATCTTGTCTGATCAGCCAAGGCATTATAATCTCTCTCTCTCATTCTCTCCAAAGACTCCTCAGCCCGGGGGTGTGAACAGGCTGGCCTATGTCTGCACAGGGGCTTTGGGAAGGAAACCCTGCAGGAGCCAGCATCTGCTGGAGCATCCAATTATCTTGTGTCATACTTGACATCTAAACAAGGCCAGGTCTGATGGCCCCTTAACATGAACAGCATGTGCTTTTCATGGGCTCCCTTTGTTGGGTCTTCCACAGGATTTTGCCAGAGACTGGTAGAAGAAGTAACAACTTCATTGTGATATAACTCACATAGAATTCACTTAATTTAAGAGTACAAATTCAATGGTTCTTAGTATATTCACTGAGTGTAACTACCACCAAAATCAATTTTAGAACATTTTTGTCAACCCAGAAGGAAGGCCTGTACCTTTCAGGAGTTACACTCTTCCCAGGCAACCGCTTACTGCCTCTGTCTCTAGAGATTTGCCTATTCTGGATATGTCCTATAAATGCAATCACACAGCATGTGGATTTTGTGACTGACTCCTTTCACTTGGCTTAACATCTTCAAGGTTCATCCACGCTGCAGCGTATTTCAGTACTTTGTTCCTTTTCACCTCCAAATAAAATTCCATTATATGGAAGCATCATGTTTTATTTAATCATTTGTCAATCTATACACATTTGGATTTGTTACCTTTTTTAAAACTATTATGAACAATGCTGCTAGGAGCATCTGTGTACAAGATATTGTGTGGACAGATGTTTTCATTCTCTGGGTAATATGTACAGAAGCAGAACTGCTGGATGAAAGGCAATTGTGTTCAGCTTTTTTATTTTGTTGGTACCAGGGACTGAACTCAGGACCTTGCACTTGTGAGGCAGGTGCCATGCCACCGAGCTAAATCCCTGGCTATGTTCCACTTTTTGAAGAACAGCCACACTGTGTGTCAAAGCAGCTGCATCATGTTCTAATGTCCTCAGTAGTGCATGGGGGTTCCGATTTCTCCCAGACTTTTCTAGCCAGGGAACGGCAACACTACCCCGGCTCTCTACAGCATGGTAGAGCTGAGTGACCCAGTTGTGCCACTGAGAGGTAAACTGGAAGCTGTGGGTGTTTCTTCTGGGTCACAGCCTCAGTCCTTGCTCCCTGCCCCCAGACAACAAGATTGGAAGCAGAACCTGGCCTTGGAGATGGAAGCCCCACTGGACAATGGCAGAGGACACCCACAGTCCTCAGCTCCCATCTCTGGATGGCTGGGTAGATTAGAAACACACACCTGTCTTGCAAAATCCCTTCATGTTAGGGTCACACATCCAATCTGCTTAGCCTGTGGTTTAAGGCTCATTGGATCAGGATTTTTCATGAGCTCTGGCTGGTGACAGCACAAGGGCTTGATTCGAGACAAGGCAAGAGAGTAACACAGTAGACCTCACCCCTCCCATAGCCTGCACTGCAGAGTGGAACACTGCAAAGTGGAAAGACAATAAAAGTTTTACGTACCAACTGGCCTGTCTACAGGTAACATGCCCAGATACTGTACGTGGAACTTCTGGACCAGCTCAGTCTTTGGTGTTGGAAAATCTACTATAGGGAACAAAAGCAATACATCTTTCTTAGTGCTTCTTGCATCCCAGTGAAAAGCAGATATCACTCCAGATCTAGAATGCCCAAAACACCATCAGTGCCTGATGGCCAGTTTCTGGATGTTGTATAAGGATATTTCTTACTCCAGACATTGGGATACTGTCAGAATCCTATCCAACTTCCACTTCAAGGCAGGGAAGCATTTGAAGGCAGCAACTGGATGTTGTCAAGGCTGCTATTGTCTCTGGTGTGCGCTAAGAAATAGCTTTGGATGCCCTATTTGTTAGGTGTGGCTGATGCCCAAAGAAAGTGTAGTCACAGGGCACAATCACAGACACAGGAAAAAGAACTGAAGAGTTCCTCAAGTAACAATCCATAATTTTTAACTTAGGCAGTTCTTGCTCCAGGGTATATATGACCTATAAAATGACTGACAATAATATTCTTTAATCTTGTCCAAGAGCAACAAAACCAACCTGCCCTTTACAGCTAACCCTACTGACACAAAATTAACTCTGCCCCGTCTCTGTGTTTGTTGAGTTCAAAATGCCTGTTAAGGAGACTTGAAACACCAGAGAAGCACCCGAGACCCTCTGGTCCTTGTCCAGGTGAAGAGCACCACAGGGAAAGGGAGATGGCCTCACCTACCTTGCAAGGGAACATCGAGATTCACGTTTGTCCTCTCCTGTAGGGAGCTGCAGGCCAGGGCTTTGGCATTCTTACGTTCAGCCATGATCTAAAGGGTAAATGAAAACCTAGCTGTGGTTCATGGTTCAGGCTCCCAAGTCTTCAGCTGGTCCAGCCAGTAAAGGGACTGAGCTGACTTCACTTCCAAGTTAATTGGCTTTGGTCTTTTCCCTGATGTCCTACCCCCATATCTCTAGGCTCCATATGCAGTTTGAGAAGTCTGCTTATTCCCTGGAGATAACAGGTGAACTGTTCATCAGACTCACAGCCCCCTACTGTCTGGAACTTACTTATTATTTGGAACTTACAGCACTCCTCAGCTGAAAACAACCCAGCAGGTAACCTCTGGTCCAGGCTGCCACTGCCCCACAGCAGTCACAGGGACACAGAGCAAGGGACCTGCCCCAGTGCTCCCAGATCTGCTATTTAGATACTCTTTTCAGGGATCTGGAGACAGAGCACATGGGTTCAAATCCCGCCAGTGCCACTTACTAGCTGTGTGACCTCGAGCAAGTCACCTGGCCTCCTGTGGTCCCTTGATCACACGTGGGGATGACTGTGGTATTCATGTCACAGAGGGCTCAGGATGTCAGCTGGGGTTGTTGTTATTCTCAAACGTTTCCCTTACTGACATCTGTACTCAAGTCCCCACCAGTTACGTGTGCTGGGGGCTCAGAGATAGGAAGAAACTCAGCGTTCAGTGACCTTAGCAGTAACCCAGCCTGCACCCCAAGCCAAGCTTTCCACTGCAGCGGAGTGAAAGTCACGTCATCCCCGAGCTCCAGGATGCCCAACTCTTGAGATCTGTGCCTGGGACTCATGCAGGAGTGCTGCTAACAGGAAAGCTGTGTGTTTCTTGGTACTTCCTCTGAACCAGGCCAGGTTCCGAGGGCTTTGCACTAGAGCCTAAGCTTCACAGGGAAGGACTTTTCCCTATTTCGGACACTGATGTCTGCCCAGTAAACAGAACAGCACTTGGTGTGCAAATGGCATCCAGCTGTATTTGTTGCATGAACGAAGGAGAAAAGTGAAAGCCAGGATGTGCGACATGCTGCCAGTGGTGTGGCCACACTCCGGTCCTGTCAGCGCGAGGATGTGAACACAGGCTGCTCTACAAGCCCTGTCCTGGGTCAAACTAGCTCAGGAGAAATCACAGGGGGATGCTAGGTAATGACAACGGGGTGATGGCAAAATCTTGCATTTAGATTCTGTCAATTAAGCGAGTTTGGGGAATGGAGAGCTTAGGATGAGGGAAGCTGATAGCCGTGTCCTGGGCATCGGGCTCACCACCAATGGAATGAACAAAAGTTGGGGGGTGGTGTGATCGCTAGGAAAGCCAAGAACCCCAACGCGGTCTTGGAGGTCAGAGGACAGAGGAACTCACCGTCCACTCCCCGCTGGCTCGCTCTGGGGGGACCCAAGAGCACTCACCAGAGGAGGATGTTAGGGGCCTTCCGCAGCCATGGCACACAGCAGGGTTCCTGTGTCTGAGGCCTGCCTGGTGGACACAGCAGAGGAAGCCCTCTCTGCTGTTACCAACTGCAGTTATGTGTGTGGAGGTTCCAGGGAAAGACTTCCGGTCAGCAGAAGAAAGCACACTGTCATAGCCGAGGTGCTCAGCAAGGGAACAGACTTCTGGGAAGTCAGAGGCCCCTCCCTGGAAGTCCAGGGTCATGCTGGGGGTGGCAGTGTTGCTGTGCGGGATACTGTGCTGGAGGTGAGGGGACCGAGGCAGCGAGTGAGGGTGGACTGCTGGGGCCAGGCTGGCTGCTCTCTCTGAGATGCGGGGACTCTAGCTGAGGAAGCAGGATCTTTACCAGCATGGGCAGGGACCATGGCCTTGCCTCCCAGCTGGAGAATGAGCTTCTGTGAGCTGTCGTGGGTCACTGTCCAGTGAGTGTGTTCACGGCAGCCCCAGCTACCTGCACTTCCACACACCCCTGATGGTCTCTCTTTCCTCCTGTCCTGTTCTCTACCCGAGTTTACTCTTAGGAATGCTGTGTTCCCAAACTGCCCTTTCCCTGCTTTTCTGGGGATGCATGGCCACCACTGTACCTAACCACTTAGCCGACCTGTGTCATACAGATACAGCTCAGCCTGTGAAAGGACGCAGCTCTCCGTGTTGTGTAGAGAATGCCGCTGAGGCAACACCTGCCCACAGCAAGAGCACCTCGGCCCTCAGTGTGAGAGGGTTCTTAATGCCATGGGCCCAACAACCAGTCTGCTTCTTCCTGAATTCAACATGCAAGGCAACTCTCTGGCCCTCCCTCATCCCTCTATCTGCTCAGGCGGTGAGAAGAAAGAGAGGTGGCCCTCGCCCACCCTACCTTGGAACAGATTTCGTGGAGACTTGTGGCGATGGCTTTTGCTGGTGTGTCACATCGAAATACATGACATTTCAAAATTCTTGTGTCTTTGTCTCTTGCTACATAAGCAAAATCTCGGCCGTCTTCATGGCCCACGCCCCACACACGAATGCTCACGATGGGCTGGGAATGCAGCATGGTGCAGTCCATGGGGTCCACCAGGCTGAGCATGTCGTTCTCCAGTACCAGGTACATGTCTTTGCCCTCTCCCCAGATGCCAACTGTGTCTCAGATGTCGTTTTTGCAGTACGAAAGCCACCTGATACAATTGTTGACAGCCACACTGCTTTTACCAGGGGCGAGGTCCTCCTCTGCCATCTCTACCCACCCCAGAGAGCGCATAGCAAAACACTTGGCTTCCGGGTCACTGTTGATACTACAAGAATCATCATTGTCAGCATGAGGGGCATTTCTGAGTTTCAAAGATGCATAGCGTAGTGTTGCTCCTTCAAATTCTTTTAAACTAGGATCTGGGTTAACTGTGGCTGCACGCAAATCCTCATTCTCTGGGGTGGGAGACAGCATTACAGATCTAAGAGACCCTTTCCTAGAGCCCTGAAGATCTGCTGGGATGGAGACAGGCTGTTCCCACTGAGTTGTTTCTGTTGGGATGTGCCAGTAATAGGTACCAGCGATGTCACTGATTCTTTTCCAGCCAGGTGGAAGATCCGGATCTGTGTGAAATGAGTGATCACTCCAGATATCTGCTGGCATGGCTGGGGAAAGCTGTCGTGACTGCCCCATCTCTGGAGCTTCTTCTTAATCCTGGCCTCACTCCTGTGACCTCTTTAAGCTTTCTTCGGTGACCCCATTGGAGTGAACGCCCACTTTGCTCTAGGTCCCTGACTTACACAGAAATTACTATAGTTGTACTCATTTCCTAGGCTGCTTGTGTTACTCTTCTTGTTGCTGAGACAAATTACCCAGCACCCAAAGTTAAAGGGGGAAAGGTTTGCTTAGCTCAGTTTGTAGCGGTTTCAGTCCATAATTGGCTGGCTCCAAGGGAGGGTGGCTTGGCACAGGGGCTTCACAGAGAATAGTTCATGGCAGCCACAAGGTAGCAAAAGCAATGAGGGGAGAGGCCCTTTCTCTGTTGTTCACTTCTGCAACTCAGGACAATGGCCTTCATGTCCCCCTGTGCCTCTGTAGTGTGGAACCAGGTAGCTGCACAGCCAAGAGGCCAGAGGCTGTGGGGCGGGGCTGGGGGCTGTTGTTACAGGTGCCTGTGTGGCCAGGCCAGAGGCTGGTGGGCCTGCGAGGGCGGGAGGGGGGGG